GTATCAGCACCACACTCTCCCGAGTGAGCCACGGGCCGGCCCTTATACTATAATATATTTTAATAATAAACAGGAACTAAATACCACAGTTAAGCATTTTCAACATTCAGTAATAATAGGGATGTTGCTTAGCAGTAATTGTAAACAGTTCTTCAACAGATTTTGTTGACAGTGTTCTGGATTTGACTTTAGAATTATTGGTGTCTGAACCTATTTTTATATTCTACCTATCACCTTTTATTTAAAAAGCAGACATAGGGCCGAACCCGTGGCGCACTCGGGAGAGAGTGGCGAAACCGCCACGGGTTCGGATCCTATATGGGGATGGCCAGTGCGCTCACTGGCTGAGCGCGGTGCGGGCAACACCAAGCCAAGGGTTGCGATACCCTTACTGGTCACAAAAAAAGACAAAAAAAAAAAAAAAAGCAGATATAAATCTATTTATCTTTAAGTAATTGCAGAGCTTCCACCAGTGGTGTATAAGGCTTGTATCTGGACATGGTAATACTAGAATGTCTTACTAACATCTGAAAATAACAGCTGATCACTTTCATTCCCCAAGTTAAAATGTTGGGTATATATGATAATGAAACAGATTGGGATAGCAATAACCATGTAAGACAGTTACAGTTATTCTTTAAATTAACCAAAGCTGGTTAGTTCTTTTCTATTAGTATTTTTTAAATAAAGTTCTCTGCTCACATATTTGAAAGAGGTGCTAATTGTAAGTCTGAGTAATAAAGAACTGAAATTAAACTTTTAAAAAAATTATCTTTGGTAAATGACTTAAAATATTAAACCAGTGGTAAGATAATACTCTTTCTTAATTTTGACAATATTTGTGTGCTGAGATTGTTCTTGTTTTCAATTAATTAAAAGCATTGAAAACACCCTATAACCTGCTTTTAAATTGCTAATTGATAGAAGGTGTTTTTTAGTATGGATTAGACTAATTTTAAATCTAATGTGAATTCTTCATATTTAGTTTTATAAAGATACTTTAAATTTTGTACAATTCTGGGAGTTACAGGTAAATTATCTGAGATGTAAAAAATATATAGCTAGGCTATATAGTTCCAATGCAGTTGCTGACTCTAGACAATAAAGTCACATTTGGTTTTTTATACTAAAAGTAGGAGCAATAGTGGATATATCTCAGCAATAGTAAAAAGATAAGCACTAAACTTTCATAAAGTCCTTTATCTATATAAAGTACTTTAAGCCATAAAAATTTACAGAAAGGCCAAGTTTTCTAGAATGCAAATGAATTAAAATGGTGCATATACACGTCATGTTAGAATGGCTGAAAAACCACATGTATTTTTTGGATTTTAATGAAGACAAAGTGATTTAAGTAGATGTCATTTTAAGCATGAGATATCATGGAAATCATTTTTTGTTCTTTATGTGAAAAACCCAAGTGTAAATTGTGGCTGTCAGGTGAATGGATAGGGCTAGGTAGTGTTCTGAGGCATGTTTACAGATGAAATGGGAGGGGAAAGTTACATGATTAATAGATTAAACAAAGTTATAGGCTTTGCTGGAGGATTTTATAGCCTTCATAATATTTTAATGTGCATTGGGTGAATGGCAGGGAAGGGAGAAGATTTGCAGCCAAACATACTGGACCACTGGAACCTCCTTTTTATTCTAAAGTGTCATGGGATTGTAATTTCATGGAGCGAACTTTAAGATACTTTGGATCAGCTTATTTTTTAAATTACTTCCATATATAAAATTCTGTAATCCTGTGGAGAGCTCAGGAAGTATGTAGGATTAATTCACCAATCTATTGTTCCAGAAACTCCAGTTGTTTTAATCTTCCTAAATGATCCTTTATGTTGGTAAAGAGGATATCAACACTAAGGAGCTTATTAATTTAAAAAGACCCGTATCTACCCAAATTGATAAGATACCAAATGCACAGCTTTCAGGATACTTCTTTTTTTTTTTTCCGTGACCGGCAACGGATCAGAACCCTCAGTGTTGCGCCCGTACCGGACCGGGACGGCAACGGGATCGCAACCCTCGGTGTTGCGCCCGCACCTTGCTCAGCCAGTGAGTGGCCAGTCTGTATGTGGGATCCGAACCCTCGGGGGGAGCGCTGCCGCGCTCTCAAGCGGCCCACTGTAGCAGTGCGCCACCCGGCCTGCCCCAGGATACTTCTAAAATGAAACATCTAAATCACATTCTATTCTGACATTTGATGAAGAGAAAAGTTTAGGCAGAGAAGAAATTTGATGGGAGGGATAGCTGAGCTTAAACCAAAAGCAGGAACCTAGTAAACAAAGAGAGGTCCTCCAAAATAAGTGAATTTCATTATTTCATATGCATTTAAATAGCAGCAGGTATACCTGTTACTAGTTAACACAGTAGTCCCCGCTTTATCCACAGGAAATACCTTCCAAGACCTCCAGTGGATGCTTGAAACCACAGATAGTACCGAACCCTATACTATGTTTTTTTGTATACATGCATATCTGTGATAAAGTTTAATTTATAAATTAGGTACAGGAAGAGATTAACAACAATAACTAATGATAAAATAGAACAATGATAGCAGTAAGCCAGCATCATTACTCTTGTGCTTTGGGACCATTATTAAGTAAAATAAGGGTTACCCGAACACAAGCACTGCAGTTCTGTGACAGTCATCTTGATAATCAAGATGGCTACTAAGTGACTAATGGATGGGAAGCATATACAAGGATACTTCAAAAAGTTCATGGAAAGATTTGTATTGTCTTTTGTTTTCTTTTTGGTAGCTGGCCAGTATAGGGATCTGAATCCTTGACCTTGGTGTTATTAACACCATGCTCTAACCAACTGAATAACTGGCCAGCCTGTATTATCTTTTAATTCTATTTTTCCATGAACTTTTTAAAGTACCCTCATACAGTGTGGATAGGCTGGACAAAGGGATGATTCACATCCCATGCGGGATGGCTCAAGATTTCATCACATTACTCAGAATGGTGCAAAATTTAAAACTTATGAATTACTTATTTCTGGAATTTTCCATTTAATATTTTTTTACTACAGCTGACTACGGGTAACTGAAACCATGGAAAGCAAAACTGCAGATAAGGGGGGACTACTATACAAAAAATTTACAAAACCAAATAACTTTTTTTCTTATATCTATCATTTTGTTGCTTACCCTATGGCATTAGTTTCAGGTTCTGGTAGATAGTACACAGTGACTACTTTTGATCTGGTTTTTATTGTGAACAAAAAGACCTATAGTTCAAATATATTGACATTTCTGATTTTGTCGGCATTATTCATTACATTACTTAGTTACTTGTATTATGTACTGTGACAGCTTGAAAGATCTTATAAATGATTATGTGATGTCATTTTCCTGTCCCCTGAACAAAAAAATGATTTCCTAGAGCTCAAAAGAACATAGGATTGATGACAAAATGTGAAGGGCAAAGCCAGAGGGGATTGAAAGATATAAATTGAACAAGTTCTTCAGCTTAAATCTGTGGCAGGAACAAGGTAATTAGCAAAAGCCAAAGAATGGGGGTGGGGGTGGGGAAGGTGGTGAAATGATATGGAGTAGGTGCTGAGTTGGACTGTAGCAAGAGAGGTCAGACAGGACAGAGGTGAGCAACTACCTGAGAAAGTATGTGTGGGGGTGAGAAAAGACAGACAGGTTCTTCTTCCTCTGCACGGCTTCTTTTCATGGATTCCTCCATAAGTACCTGTTCTTATTTTCTATTCTTTGTGGTGGTGGTGGCCACCCTGTCTGGAACCTTTTCTTGAAAAATTACTACTACTAATATAGCCTTAAAAACGATCAATAGAAATAGGTTTCCACTTCACTGCTTCTAAGGGACACCCTCCTATGTCTTCAGATTTCTCAAAAAATCCAGTTTCTGTTTATATCCAAATACAGTGTTCAAGTGTGTATATTTTTTCTATTCACGGTGACAATGGATCACAATTAAGTAAAATTCAAGTATAAAAAAAATGTAGTGCTCAAGTTTATTAAAACATGGTTTTTAAAAAATGTCCTGTGGGATTGGGTTATTTTTGCTATAGTTCTTTGATCCTTGGGCAGATGCTGAATCTCCTTGGTTTCTGTATCTGTAAAATAAAGCCAGTATCACTCGTCTTGTGGCATTATTGTAAAGATTAAATGAACTAATGTATGTACACTACGCAATAAATGGGACCTATTATTAGTGCTGTTTTTATGTTTTTCATATTTATGGTGAGTTTTGATGTTTTTTCATATTTAACTTTAGGAAAATTTTGCAGTTGAAATGTCTGAAATAATCCATGCTAATTTTGGGGGGGAAAATAGTTACTTAACTGGGCTGTTGTGAGGTAACAGTTACAATTTAAGTAAAAATTTGTAAATGTTAATCATTATCAGTCACTTTACTATTACTTCTTTTTATTTTCAGGAGTGGACGCTTCTCTTGTGAGCCAGCTGGAGGTCTTACCTCATTGACAGAACCACCCAAAGGACCTGGCTTTGGTGTGCAAGCAGGCCTTTAATTTACATTCAACTGTAAACATGTCACAGAGAAATAAAATATGAACCTCCTATCTATGTAAACTTTTTATATTTGTTTGTTCAACTCTGTGTACATCTTGGTGGTAACCTAGCAACTGGCAACTGCTAAGTGTCATGTCAAAACGATGAAGCACCATTTTAGTCTTTTGCTATCTATGGCTAACTATGAGGACATTATTACATAATCTAGTTAACAGTTACTCCCTCCAACATCACCCATTTTCTTTTTTTAAAAAAGATGACCGGTAAGGGGATCAACCCTTGGCTTTGTGGTGTCAGCACCACACTCAGCCAGTGAGCTAACCGGCCATCCCTGTATAGGATCCGAACCCATGGCCTTGGTGTTATCAGAACTGCACTCTCCCGAGTGAGCCACGGGCCGGCCCCAACATCACCGATTTTCAAATGCCAGGTCACTTTTACCAATAATACCAGGTTATTGCGAAGTAAAAATTCTATGAAATTTCAACTATGTTTTGCTTTTCCATCTTTAGCCACAGCCAAATTTTAAATTAACGTGATCTTTCTATAAATTTTATTTATGCCAGTACTCCCTTTAAACATTTTTATGTTTACAGCATACAATTGTCAACTGGCAGGTGACACCTCAAGCACACTGGAGGTAAAAAGAGGATAAGGTAGTTGTCTCTAGAAGCATTATCCATCTTAAAAAAGAAAGGTACAAAACATTATGTCTGGCTATTCAAAAAATAACGAAGAAATTGGAAATACTGTATATTCATGAGTTGGAAAGATCAGTGGATATGCAAAATATACTCTTTAGTTTTATGGATGTTACAACTTAGAAGAAAGGATAAAACCTTTTATGCATTACATCCAGTTAAGAAACTAGCTATAGCACATTAGTTTTGCAAATAGGAAAAAAAAATAATAGCCAGCTTTAATGCATGGATAATAAATTTAATGATTTAATCAAATCATTTCAGGACTTTTCAAAGTCGCTCTTTAGCCTTCCTCTTGAGATAGACTTTAGTCACTAATTATGATGCCTGTAAACATAATTTTTTTTATTATGTCATTTAAAAAGTGGGGGTTTTTTTACTTGGGAGAAGGTAAATATCACAGTAATCTTTCTTTTTTTTTTTTCCTTTTTGTCTTTTTTCGTGTCTTTGGGGGTTTTTTTACTTGAGAGAAGGTAAATATCACAGTAATCTTTCTTTTTTTTTTTTCCTTTTTGTCTTTTTTCGTGTCTGGCAACGGATCGCAACCCTCAGTGTCGCGCCCGTACCGGGCCGGGACCGG